GGTGTTGTGAGGGAAGGGCTGCGGGCCCGTGGCTGTGCGGTGTTCCGCTCTTACAGCCGCCGTTTGGGTAGGTTTATTGCATCACACGTTGGGATGCTGGAAACTTAGCAAAAACGTGGTTTACTGGCAGTCTGGCTGGAGGCTGGGCTAAAGGTAATACCCACAGGGAATGGCTTCGTTTCTGGTCCAAGAAACATGGACGTGAACTCATTTTGAGTGTTAGGCATTTACATTTAAGGAATTTTGTTAAAAAATTAAATATGCTCACCAATATACTTTTTTCCTAAGCAGAGTAGAACTTGAGCATTGTCTGTGCAGCACATTCACACCTGCAGGATACAAATCCACCCAAAGTTTCAACCTCATGGTTGCACATTATTCACCCAGGTTGCAACTAACTCAGTGCCCAGTATGGGACAAGATTAAGCATGCCTGACCTGTGAGCTGAGCCTTATTGGTACCTGATTAGAAACTGGAATTCCTGTAGTAGGCAGGTAGCCTTTGCTTGGTGAAATGAAACTTATGCTGTTTGGTTGGGTTTGGTTTTTTTTTGGCAAAGCTCTAATCAGGCTGTATGAGAACAATGGTGTCATTACTTATTTGTCTAACTTAGCATGAGAGACGAGGGACTAGCAATTACACCACCCCATGTTGTTATTACCGGATGATTCTTAACCACTTGAACCTCAAAGGTTGTCCCCTGTGTTTAGCTTTCTTACCCAATGACAAATGGCTTTAAAAGTGCACCAGGTGCACACAAATCCCACGTGGGCAGGGCTCTGTCAAAATGAAGGAGCATGGTGGGGAAAACACAACTTCTGCTAGTTCTTTATCCTGTGGGATTTGATACTCTGTAGTGTTCTGTGGTCTTTTTTCTTTTCCCCTGTATGCTATGATGTCTTTTCATCCCATAAAACAAAGAGTACCTTTAAAATTTTTACATATCAAAGGAGCTCCATTCCTACAGGCCATATGGTCAGTGCATTTACTTGCTGATTAGCTTTTAGGAGAATTTGTTCATTTAGGCTTAAAGAACTGTTGTGTTGAACTGTGTGGTACAGTATTCCACTCCATCTCATCTACTCCATCCTTTCTTCCAGCAGTTTCCTTGGATTTTACTGTAATGGGTTTTTTTTCCTGCAGGGGTCAGCGAACCCATCTGCCAAAACAGATCACAGAATGTAAATTAAGTAAATGGGTTTCAGCAAAACCTTACATGAAGTGGCTACATATAACACTTATATAAATGCCCAAAGCTCTACAGTGGCAAGTGGGTGAATGGTTTGAGAGAGCAGAACATTGTGTTTGCAAATCGAATAACTTTAAGTCTCCTTACTATGTCCTTCTTCTTATATTAATTTTTATTAAATAAATCTTTGAATTTAAGAGTCCCTGGGTTATGGTAATACTGATAGTAAATTTAATATTAAAGTGTGATCTGAAAGAAACTTTTGCCCATACCGAGTGGAAGTTTTATTTTAAATGTAGTTGATTGTATCCAAATAGTAAATAGTTTCCTTTTACTATATAATTCACTTCATTTTCCATGAACTTGGTGATTACATAAAACCTTTCTTTACTAGCATTTCCCTTTTTACAGGAAAAGTCATCTCGCTTGTCAGCAGCGTTATTTGGTGAGGACTGCGAAATCAGCCATGACCAGCTGTATGAGTTGTTAAAGTATGCAGCTTTGGGAAAATGCCACAATGCAACACAAGCCAGGTATAACACATTCATTTTTGGGAATCAACCCTGTCTTAGGTCCTCACGTGTTGTGAAAGACGTACCTAAAGGCATATTGGCCACGCTGGTTTTGGAATCCTTGCAGCGCAGTTACCATAATGGCAGCCTGTATTATGTAGATACAGTTGTTGTTGTTAGACTCGGCCAGAGACCAGAATTTCTCTTCTGACAAAAATTCTACCATTTTAGTTTTGTTTCATGCAGTTATCAAAAACTAAACAATTTTGTGGAACAGAAGAAGCTTCACACACTGAGAAATGAAATACCATGTTAAAAATATTAACACAAAAAATATTAACAGGTTTCACGTCAGATATAATTGAAACAGAGTGTTTGGGGGAAAACATTTTAGTCACTTTGTCCTTTTCCAGGGCAACTTCTCAGCAATGGAAGTGAAAGACTGAGGAGGGTATATAACCTCAGATGGCAAAAATATGGTGAAATGTAATGAATCTTGAAATGAAACTCAAGTCAAAAATGATCCCGCTTTAGATTTTTAGTAGTGAATAAAAAATGATTTTGTGAAAGTTTTTTTGTTGCGTTAATTCACTAGACTGCATCACTACAGCTGAAATAACTGGTCTGTATTCACATTCTGATGCATATAAATGAGGCATAAATGTCTTGAAATGGTACTGCAGCAGAATTTTGCTGTAACTCATTCTTCTCTGTCTCTCATATTATGTTGCTTCCAGGAATATGTGGCTGTTTGAGATAAGCTATAAAGCCTCTTCTTACTGAAGTAATATGGCACTTTGCCATTCACTGACTTAAAAACTGGGCTGGTTCCAAGTTTGTTTTTAAGAGTGCTTGATAATTGTTTTGCTCTGATTTTTTTTTTTTTAATTTTATTTTATTTTTTTCTTTTATAACTGTAGCTGGTGCCGTATTTATCACCAAAGCCACCTGGCTGGGGTTGTGGTTATTGTTCTACATGAAATGAGCCAACTCCATTTCTACAAATTCTATTTGCAGTTCAAACACCTCAGAAAAGTCTTCCGGCATGTAAGTCCCCAGACTGTATTGCTGTCTTCTAAACTTCTTCCAGTGCTGAAACTATGTCTCAAGGATTAATCACTGCAGAGAAATTACTGCCTTTTCCAATAGGAAGTGGCCATCTTTGACTCTCAAAGCAAGCTAATAAAAGGATCTGTTTGTAACTGTTGTCAGCTCAGAAGAAAGGCCAAGGCTTTAGTATTAAAAACAGGTTTTCAAGGCTTCAAAGACATGCCTTACCAGGTGAGACATGTATTGATGTTTCAGTCCTCAGACTATTACACTTCCTGCATCTTCAGGATGCCAGTGAGAATAAAAATATCTCAGTTAATTTGGAATTTACTCTTCAGGGAGTCAGGAGACTCTCAATATTGAGTTACGCTATTTCCTCTGGTTGAAAAAATCTCACTTTTACTATTTACACTTTATCTCAAGTTTCTCCCATTTCCCAAAAAGATTATTAAAAGAATTATTTTAATTTTCTGAGTTACAAGGAACATTTTTGAAGGAAGGAAGAAAGAAAGAAGCACTTTGATTCAGACTTCTATAGAATTCTCCCTGAACTGCAGCAAATGCAAATCACAACTTAACTGGAAAGTCTGGAACTTGCTTTAGTTTCTGTCAAAGAAGGTCTTGAGACTTGCCTTCTTGATCGTATCAGGCAAGGCAAATCTGTCCCTTAGTACAAAGAATCCTGTATCATCTGTCATTAAAACAGGTTTGGGTTGTGTTGGGTTTTTTTTCTTCCTTGGGAAAACACCAAACATATTTCCACTACTTCTTTATCCATCCTCCTCTAAATTTGACTGGTTTGGGGATCAAGAAACATCTCATTTGCTTGATGTTTCTGCTTCTGTTTCAAAGTCTCTAACACATCTGTTTTCTCAGAGATTCACATTAACACCTTCTGGCAACTTCCTAGCCAGCCTGTATGGAGAAGGAGCAAATCTGAAACCTCAAAACACTGCACAAGGTATCTTGCTTGGCTTTGCATTGTCTCTTTCAACCACAGTGATTCACTTTCAAGAGTAATTTATGACTTTGCATCCTGTGTAATCCCAGCATGCTGCTCTGGTAAACTTGTTTACAAAGGAAAACATACAATGGTTTAAGCCATGAGACCAGACACCCTAACTAGTTCAGTAACTCTCTGTTGGGCTTATTATCACAAGTAAATGCAAAAAGCAAAGAGAAAGTTTTTACATGTTTAATCCAAAATTCTGATGCTTCATTACCCATTTTATGATTATTTTATTCTAAGATATATCTAATAAAAGTTATAGAGAAATAAATTAGATTCAAGCTAAGTAGTTATTTCTTAGTTTTCTTTGTTACACTGAGCAGCAAATCAAGGTAAAGAACAGGTGTGTTGATGACTGATTTCCTATCTTTACACTCTTTAAAGAGGTGATTGTAATCCAACAGGCTTGTGCAAAACCTGCAAGAGACTACAATGCGAACTTCACTGAAATTGTTAGAAGTGTAACAAAGAATCTTGAATTCAAGTCCTAAATGGGAGAATGAACAGCTGTTACTTTCAGTGTATTGACAAAGTCCTCTGGCATCCTGACTGTAAGCCTACTGCACAGTTACAGATCTGAGATGTCAGGTATATTTTTCTTTTAAGTGCAATCTGCAGAGAATCACCTACAGGATAATTTAACTTTATACAGCTGTGGGTTCTGGTGTCAGTTCAGTGCTTGCTTCTTTGTGAGCCACACTTTGAGCACATTTTCTCCTGACAATACTTATAGGAAAGAATTTCACAGACAAGGTAGAAAAAAAAAAGAACTTATTTTACAGCTTACATGAAGTAACAGATGATTATGTTCTCATGCTTACGAGGCAAGTTTGTTCTCTCTATTTCTGAAAGGAATGTGAGACAGAGACTTGTGTCGTGACTTGCTTCTGAATCAGCCAGCAGCATCAGTAAGCTGAACTGGGAAAAGATTCAAGTATCCTGAATATCAAGTATATTTTATATATATATATATATAGTGTATATATAATGTATACATTATATATAGTATTGTGTGTATTTGATTATGTATATGTAATGTATATAGCATGTGTGTATATATGTACACACAATAAATGAGATATAAACTGGAGATGTATATATATGTAAAAACTGGAGAGAGAGAGAGAGACAAAAATAAACTGGAGATAGACAGATAGGTTGGTCTGTCTGTCTGTCTATCTATCTCTCAAGTTTATTGTTTCAGGGAGTGTTTTCCTTTGAAATGGTGTAGCCTTTTGTGTGTATACTAATGCAGAAAACTGACTGCAAGTAGGGAGTGCTTTCTGAGCTTGACAGATGTTCCTGTATTTTACAGGTTTGACTTCCACTAGCAGTGAATGTATTCCTAAAAGTTCGGACTTGCAGTGTGATCCCATCATTCGGAAATACGGATTAAAAAAACGAGGCCTTACTAGCTATACTCTAACTTTAGAAGAGCAGAAAAAAAATTACTATCCCATAAAAGGTCAGTTTTTGAGGGCTTTGGTTATTTTGTGGTTTCTTTTTGACTTTGACAGTTAGTGACATGTTTGGTCATATAAAATACATGATGAGTCTTAGAAGAGAGAGGTCTGTGTCTTATTCGTGGCTGTCTCCTCATTCTAGGCTCCCCTGGATGTAAGGGTTATATATATACAGAGTGTGATCAGCAGAGGACGGACAGCAGCCCCCTCTTTGGTCTGGATTGTGAAATGGTAAAAATAAATGTGTGTGGCCTTACAAAATATGGTCAAGCAACCAAACTCCTACCAGCTATTCCAAAGTGAGCTTCCAAAGTGAGCCAAACACCCTGTGTATTTGCTAAACCACTTCTGATATATTAATATCTGCTGCCATTCCCTTCATTTATGATACCAGTGCTAATGCAGACATGGGAGTGATGCTGGTGGCAAGACAGAAACATTACCTTGAGCAATGCAGCAGAGAGCACGGTTCTGTGTTGGCTGTCAGAGCAGCAGCTAAATCTGCCAGGCCCATCAGCAGTGCTGCAGTAACCCCTGAGACTGCTGTGGAATTCCTCCTCCCAGCCCTCCCCAAGGTTTGGGAAAGGGAAGATACTTCCGTATCACACATCTTTCCTTTAGCCACAGTTCTTCTGGTGGCATGCTGGGTGAAGATTCCTCCTTTAGTGCAGCGTTGACCTTGCAGAGATGCCTATTTGGCATCAGCATTGAGTAACTAATGATACAACCTGGGCTCTGTTTTTAAATAGTACATCTTCTCTGGTGAAGATGCCCTCAGTGACAGCTCCGCAGTGTAGAGGACAGACTGTTTCTGTGAAATCAGCACTTCTTTATAGTGGTTTTCTTTGTGTCATGCTTGCCTGTGTGTTTGCTGTGCCTATGGTGGGCATTTAACAATTAAAATGAAGCATGCTACAGTATAAAACAGCTAGCTGTGCGTGGTAACTCTCCAAGTTGAGTAACTGCTCAGTAGTGATGCTGGCTGCAGCCAAAGGAGATGTGAGCTAAGGTTTTTGAGTGGCAGCATCATGGTGATTCAACAACTGCTTCTGCTTCTTCCTGACAGTGCCTGACTGCAAAAGGAAATGAAGTCACTCGTGTCTCTTTGGTGGATGCACAGGGCCAGTGCCTCTTGAATGAACTAGTCAAACCTGAAAGCACAGTAGTGAACTACCGCACCAGGTGACTTGCACATAAGCTTCTTATCTCTTGATCTTTAAGAGCTGCAACCCTTTCAAATTAAGCCTGTTACACAGGACTTTCCAGAAGGCTTTGGTTTGCACAGATGGCTACTGCGTTTTACTCATTGTTAAGAATATAGTTCTTGCTATGTGATTAGAATAACCAACTTTATGTATACGCTCTCTGCTACATAGTGCCTATGTGGCTAGGCAGAAGCGTTATCATTCTGCAGTGTTCTAGGAAAAGTTCCGTTACAGATTAATGATACACAGTACAAGTTACTCTTCACTGCTGGCTATAAAATATGATACAGGGTAAGAGTACAGGATTGCAGTCTGTGTGTGTCTCTGCTCCATAGCTAAGTTTGCTCAGCTGTAAAAGAATGAATAGAGCAGCTTTCACACACCTCCAGGGCTGGGCTCGGGACTGTAACAAAAGCAGGCAAAACTCAAGCCTTGTCTTCTCCAAAACTTTGCCTGGCTTTATCGAGGAGGTGACGTGCCAGTCCCCTCAGGTTACTTGGAAGCATCTCCTTCCACCATCAGTTTGCAGTACTTCCTCACCTGTGCTGTCTGATGCTAAGAACTGCATCACTTAAGAATAAGTTACGCTTGAGAAACTTTTGAAACAGATGTGGTAGCACTCGTAGCAGTTAAATATACCTGCAGTATATCCTCTTATATTGGAACAGAAAGCAGTAAATAGCATTCTGTCATTAGTTTCACCGAGTTTATATTTTACATGCCCTGCGTGTAATATTCTCCAGCAGGCACTGTTGCTAATGTGTTGCTTTTTCCTCATCCAACTTTTGTTTTGAAGATTCTCAGGAATCACAAAAAAAATGCTTCTTCCAGTGAAAACAAGACTGCCAGACATCCAAACCAGACTAAAAAAAATGCTTCCTCATGATGCGGTATTGGTGGGTCATTCTCTAAATGCTGATCTCCAGGCTTTGGAAGTGAGTATGCCTTTAAGAGCATTTTTATTCCCAACCCTGTGATACTCATTTCAGACCTGAAAACTCTAAACAGTTCCTCTTTTTGTTAGTAAACACTTGTTCATTGCTTTTTATTATGAAGAGCCCTATGTCTGTAAGGATTTAAAAGAGAAAGACTCTCCTTACATCTATAAAACTTGCAAAGGGCTGGTCAGAACCCAAAAAGAAGGGAGGAATAGATACGGTTTCTACAGCAGCTTTACATCCCTGCTTCAGCCAGGTGCTTTTGATAGCTCTGTCACGGGAAGAACTGAAGTCATTCCTGTATTTAATTTAACCAACCTCAAATGCTTGAATCATAATTAATCCTAACCCAATCCAGATATTCCCAGCAGAGTGTTAGAAAGGAGAGTTAGGTTTGTTTCATTATTCCCATCTGCTCTCTTGTGTGGACCAGTTATCAGTGGGAAACTGGCAACTGAAGTGAAAAGGCGGAGGCACAGGTAACCGTGAAATTACTGCCCAATTCTATATGACTGCTGTTCTTAAAGTAAACTGGTGATGTTTTCTCTCCTCCAGATGATCCACCCCAGTGTTATTGATACTTCATTACTATTTGCCAGAAATGAAGGTCGAAGATTTAAGCTAAAATTTCTAGCCAAAGCTGTTTTAGGGTAAGATTATTACTGTATTGTCATGGGAGATATTAGAAACTGTCATGGGGGGTGGTCATAGGGTCTTGCTTTTCCACTAGTAGCATCAAAATTACTATCTTTTTCACTAAAATTCAGAATAAAGGAGCAGGCTAATGTATGAAAGTGTCATTTATTAACTTAAATCATGTTCCTGAGTGTACTAGCTACCACAGGATAGTATGTCATAGCGATAGAGTTCTCACCATTCACATAGCAAATATGAATATTCCCCAGCACCAAACCTCACCGAGTTGCAGGTTGCTTCTCTGTCTGTATGCAAATTGTGAATTGGGTCATCGGTCAAGGAAGAAGTAAAATTAAAAATAGTCATGCATCAGAGTAGCAAGTATTAGCACAGCTTCTGTCAAACCTGGTAAACAGTGTTTTGCTCAACACTGCAAAAACATTTCTTGCAGTAACTTTTGGGAATATTTCACAAGAAGCTGCTGCACCAAACTGAAATGCTTTGTGGAGCAGGGAAAGCTGTTTTGCCCAAAAAGGACCCAGTTTAGAAAAGACAGGATGTTGGTCAGTGTGGAAAAACAGATAACCTGCCTGTACACCTAATTTTGATGCCCTAGGAAGGAGATTCAGTGTGAACAGAAGCTTGGGCATGATCCTGCAGAAGATGCTAGAGCTGCATTGGAATTGGCTCAATTCTTTATTGAGCAAGGACCAGCAAAGGTAGCTATAGCTAATTAAGATTTCTGTCCTTAATCACAGAATGTACATGTTGTGCTTATGAAGAAAAAAACCCCATTCCTGCCCATCCTCTTGTTGTTTTAAAAGAGAAAATGGAGCTGTGATAGAGGCCTCAATTTTGACAGCTTGTTACTTTCAGCATATATCCAGGTATCTTAATTACTTGGAGCATTACCAATGTTTCAATACTCAAACACTGATGTCAGTCTGCATTGCTGCTGATCTTGAAGGGGGGCATTGGCTAAAGGAGTGAGGCGCTTCCTTGAGACACTACCGGAATGCCTTTCATTTTTCCAGATGAAGAAATGAGAGACCTTGTATGTTGTGGTAGTGATTCAGCTGGTTTTATGAGTCTTTTGCTTGTGTCGTTGCTTTCTGAGAGAACTTTTTTGGAGATGATTGCTGGTTGATACTGTGAGTGATGCATGTTTGCAAATGACAACAGAAAATAAGAAGGCAAGAAATTCGTGCCTGTGTTTCTTCACTGCTGTGGAGTGTGCCTGGGTGACTCATACAGAAAGCACGTGCTTTTCAGTTAGCTACAATTAGCTGAGATGAAAGCCAACTACTCATCTTTTTCCTTCCCCAAGGTAGCAGAACTAAACTTGGAGATGCTTCTGACAACTGAAAAACTGGCCGAGGTCTCACAGAACAAAGCTGCGTTACAGCCACAAGGATGTAAGGTCCAGAAACAGCTGAATGAGCCTCCTCATTTATCTAAGCCATGGTAATAAGATTTTCAAACATGCATGTTTTTCCTTCAGTTGAAGCCCCAGTAAAATCAAAGTAGTGCGTTACGTTTTTCAGAAGCCACCAGGATCTTCAAAGAGAAACACAAATAATTGTAGCATAGCACTGAAAAACATTCAGAAATTGCATCTTAAATTTCACAAAGTGTTTTCTAGGATGCTCATGATGTTGACAAGAGTACTCTTTCAAATTTCTTTAATGAACTGTATCATTTTTCTCTGACACAAGCACTTCTTGAAAGCTTTTAATTCACCATATTGATAAGTACTGTGATTCACAGCTTGCTTCTCTCTGCTAGTTTTTTAGACTGCTTGCAGGTGACTGGCCAAAAGCCCCTCCTTTTGGGCAGACAGGAACTAGACTCTTCTGTCCTGTGTCAGAGTAACCTGAGCACTTCAAACAAACAGGTGAATGGACTTAGAGTGGGTTGGTCTAAGCAAGCATCAAAGTAGTTCAAAGTTCCTCTTGTTCTGGGGGTGGGTAGATGAGGCCTATTTAAAAAAGCTGACTGACAATACTGTTAGCAATAGTGTTAATACCAGGTTAGCTAAATCCATTTTAACATTTCGGAAATAAACTTTGATCCTCTACATCCTCTCATGACTCACTAAAGAAGAATTTCTGCTTGAGGGCTTCATTGGACAATAATGACAATTAAAGTTGGGAATTAAGTTCAATAGCTTTGGTTTTGATCCTTTGCAGTACAATTGCTTTGTACCTCTTTGAGCCTTTATACTCTTTTCCTCCAGATTCTTCAGAGAGCCTTAGAAGATGTTCCCCTGTCCACATTCAGCATCGTTCAGTTCAGTTTGGGTCCAGACTACATTGCATCTCCCCTTCTTGCTGGACTTTGTGAAAAGGTACTATTTTTTTTTTGGAGCATTGTCTTCATTGCTGAGCTTGGAAAGAGACATTACTTACCTGGAGGCACCAAGTAGTTCCTTTGCTTTGTGAAGTTCCTTCTCTAATCTGTGTTCCTGCAGGTGAGAAGCAAGCTGACTGACATGCTGACAATTTACGCAGGTCCTTTTGAAGAAAGCTTTTGCCTGAAGTCTGTGAAAAAAGAATTTGGGAGGTGTGGACCAATCCAGTCTCTTACAGTGGTAACTGAAACATGCCAGGTGAGCGCTCGCAGCGTTAAACTTGCTGACAAGGCATGGAAGGCCCGAGTAATCTCTTAGAAAGATACCAGTTAGGACAACTGAAATACCCATTATTTTGTTTGGGTTTTTTTTCTGGTGGTTTAGTCATCAGCTACAACAATTTAGGGAATCTAAAAGCTGCTCCACACAATGACATGAATAAACACAGCTCATGCAGCTTAACTGTGCTGTTCAAGCTAGAGGACTTTGAGAATTGGAGAAGCTGAGATGATTTTTGTCCCTCTTGAGAGAACTGATATGCTAAGGCCTTTAATGGCAAAAAGAAAAAAAAAAAAAGATCTAATTGATGGTTGTTTTTAACAGTTACAGTATATGGAGTGTTACATATATTACCCCCAAACCTTTTTATATTCTATTTTTCAAAGAAAACACAACTTTACTGAGACCTGACTTTTAAAAAGGGAGGGCTAATGTGTCTTATTGATAAGCCTGAAGTATCTTATCATTCTCTTTTCAAGCCCTATGTCTGTATCCAGTACGAGGTGCTGGAAGCTGCTCAGCTTGCTGTGGAAAGCCTAAATGGAGCTGAGGTTGCAGGATCCTGCATTAAGGTAAACAATGCAAACAGCAAAAGCCTAAGTTATGTTGAGCACAGGAACAGCATCCAATATGTCTCTTTTAACAGCTCCTCACAGCACGGTGGTTGGGCAAATGCTGGCTGGTTGTGCTGCTACCGTCTACATCCCTGGACAATTCAGGGCCACTGGCAGAAAGGAAATGGTTATAGCCACCTTTTTTCCTTTCTACCTGTCAGCAGAAGGGGGTTAGAAAGCATTCTGACCTCCAACTGCAGCTTTAGAAGGAAGAGCCAAGTAACAGGGTGTTAAAACACCGCATACAAAGTATTGGGTTCTTAATTTTAATAGTGTTTCTGCATTATAAACATGATCTCTTCTTGTTCATGACTAATTAAGCTAGTCTTCATTAGTCGTGTTTTTTTCCAAGGGAGGGGAAAGTAGCTTGTCAACTCTTGGTAATGTGAGAAAATAATTTAAAATAGAAGTTCAGAACACAGAGCTGCTTGGGCTGATGGGCTGTGTTTGTTCCTGTTGAATCGACCCCAGGTTCAGAGACCTGTCACTGCAACTATGCTGGACTGTGATGTTTTGATAAAGGAACTAGAACTGGATGTAGAAAATGAAGGTGTGATTTATGTAGCGGGTCTAAAGAAGTCATTAACAGAGATGGACTTGCAAGAAGAATTCAGCCAACTGAAAGACCTGGAAACACTGTTCCTGCCAAAGGATCTCCAGAGTGGAAAGCACAGGAACTGCTGTTTCCTCAGTAAGTAGCTTCACATACAGCCTGCTTATTTCCTTCAAATAAGCTCATTCAGCAGCCCTTGGGACTTTGCACAGACACAGCAAGCGCTACCGAAACTCATGTGTGCTTAAAGTGATGGTATCTAAAATACTCCAGTGAAAGCATGTATTGTTTGGAAGAGCAGTTTACAGCTAAACATTTAAAAGGAAAAAAAACTGCTTAAAAAAAGATCTTTAATTAGAAAAGGTTCAGGAGAGTTTATTGGCTCCAGTACCTCAATGTCAGGGCTGGCTACTGCACAGCTTCACACAGAGAAGTGTCTAAAAAGGTGAGGAGAACAACTGGATGAGCGTTGTTGCTGTTAACTGGCATTTCTATAGTCTGACGTTTCCCTGTAGCAAGATGAGGATCTGCTTGCTGCAGCGGTTTTGGTTTCTCGCTGTCCTCCTGCTCCCACCTTTATCCCTCCCATATAGGTGTCAAGGAACAGGGTAGCAACATCACTGCCAAAGCATGGTCCCCTTCTCTTTGTGTTTCAGAATTCCAGAAATCACAGAGTGCTGTGGATGCCCTTGAAGTTATAAACGGGTGGACCATGAAGGGCAGTAAATTAAGAAGTAGGAATGCTCTTGCTTCGGGTCACCTCTGGAGATGGATTTGGCAAATGAATCGCAGCAATGGGAAGCAAGGAGGAAACGTCTTATATGAGAAAATGGAGCAACTGTCTGACTCTGTGAGTTTAAGGCTACGCTGATGTTTGTTGAAGGCAGGGAGAAGGTACTGCCCTGGGAACCAGGAGTGGTAACTTTGAACAGACTGAGGTGCAGAGCTGCATGTAACAGAAGGGTCTCATGCTGGAGCAGGGAGGCTGCCAAGGATCAGTTCCCACAAGGCAGTTTGGCGAGGTAACATCACATGAGATAACGTGATGTTTGTAGGATACTGTGTAACCTTAAAAAAACCCCAACAGGATAGCTGCTCAGGGCACTGAGTGATGCTACACAGGAAGTGAAGCCCACCACTGGAGAGCAGAGAGAGCAATGTACAGGTGTAGCACGTGGTATGGGAGTCAGAGGGAGTAGTGACTGTTGTGTAGCCCTACAGGAAGGAACAGCTCTAGTTGCAGCTCCTGTTTTTACTGGAGGAAGCTGTAGTGCCATTTGAGTAGGGCGTGTGGTTCTCCCTGCTGCTGAGCCATGGCACTGCCAAATGCCAGCCAGTAACAGAATCACTGCTGGCCTCACCCTTGCGCTGCCCGGGGGTCAGACTTGCCAGAGGCACATTTAGGTGTGATTGCTACAGATCTGCAAATCAGCTGGGGATTTTAATACTTCCTTTCTGTTACACAGGAGCAGGATCTAAGGAAAAAGGTGAAGAAGTTAGACCACCACATCAAAAAGCTTTATAGAAGTCTGCAGAGTAACACCCTGTGTGTTGTTCTCTTTCCTGGAGTGAACAGGTAAGTTGCCACCTATTTTGCAGAGCCAGGGAAAATACATAGCCAAATATTTTTATCTTAATCTATTAAAAATTAAAACTTTGCACAAGGAAGTGAAAGCCTGAGAGAAGGGCTGAAGAAGCTGTTGTACTTATTGTCTGACTTACTTACATGTTAGGCCAATAAAACCTGAACAGTAAGTTCTGCCCATAAACTATGCCTGATCCAGAACAAGCGCAAGTGCTGAAACCACTTATGTAGCTGATGTCCAGATTAGCAAGGCTGAAGTACACAGCATTGATTAATTACACAGTTAGTCTGTCTCAGTTCACCTGCCTTCCCCTGCTGGCTGATTCATCCTTACTGACAGCAAGGTAAGTTTTATGTGCCCATGAGAGGATTGAGCAGAGTTCTGACAGCAGCCATTTTTTTGGGTGGTTTTGGTGGGCTTTTTGTTTGTTCTTCAGAACCACCTAACTGCTGCAGTCAAAGCACCATCTACCAGCTGGCTTGTGGCACCCTGGTATATGTGCTTCAGCCATAGTTGATCAAGGAGGTGGGTCATGCCCTCATTCTTATGTGGGGGACACAACTGGGAAAAAAGAACACTTCCACCAAGTCCTTAAGCTTTCATAGGAAAGGGTGAGTCCTAGAGCTGAATTGGGCTTCAGCGCTAGTATCAGGGATGCTTCTAGATGGGGTGGGCCTCCTGCATTTCAGCCCTTGGGGGGGTCTGAACTGACAGTCATTCAGTGCCTAACTATTAACCAGAAAGGTTAAATCTTTCCCAGGCAAGGCCCTAGTTACTGAGTACATACTTCAGCCATCTTCTTTCAGTTCTCTCAATGTCACTGTTCAGACAGTCAACTAAAGGTCACATCTACCCTTGTTTTTCTTCACTTTCCCTTCAACAGCCGGGCTACTGTGCCTTGTGACAGAAGACATGCCCTGAAATAGAAGCAGGGAGACAGAGCTGCTCAGCAGCATCTCTTCTGCCTGGCTAGGCAGCCAGGCCAGGGTCCCCTTGCTGACTTGCAGAGCGTCCTGAGAAGCAGCATGATGCTGTATTAGCCTCTGCACCAAACAGTGTCCCTAGAAGAGCGATGCAGCCCAAGCCAAGAGTAGATTTAGGCTTAATGCCACTGACAGACTCTTTCAGCCACATTGCATGCCAAGGGCTGTTCTTGGCATGATCCACTTCCAAGTGTTCAGTTTATAATAACTTTTTTTTTTTAAAAAGAATAATTTTAAAATTTTTTCTTTAATTATCTTCTTAAGTAAAGATCATTAAGCTTCTGCCCGCCCCCCCCAAAGCATAGCATAGAAAATGAGACTGCAGCAAGTCCTGCCTTATTAGAGCCATGCTGATTGATTGCATGTAGCTCTGTGTGTGTAAATGGGTTCTTGCACAGGCTCAGTATCAAATACTGCCTCAGTCGAAAGCAGCCGGGGGGGCCCTGAACTGAGGGCTAACCTCTGGGGGGCAGCTTAGTAGTGCACGTGGCTCGTCTGCTGCCACCTTCCGGGCTATAACCGAGTCAGGCTGTGCATTGCTGAGCAACCATTTGCCTCTACACCACTGTGTCAGCACAGTTTACTTTGTGTGCTAAACCTGTCAGCCCCCTGGAAAGGTGTGCAGCAAGGGTGGCGGGTGGGGTTGGGGGGGGGTGTCACTGGCCACGCCACGCGTCCTCTGCAACAGAGTCACTGCTCTCAGCAGGTCCAAATTTACTTTTCAAGGGCTGTTTCAAACTAGCCTCACTTAGCACAAGCTTGCCCATTGTCATACACACAGAAGGTGTGAATGCCACTACCAGAAGGGGTGGAGTCAGGACTTTGCCTCCACAAGGCACCTATAGAAGCCCACAGAGCCTGGGCTCACATCTCTCAGGTGGCTGAGGGGGTTGGAAGGGCCCTCCAGCCCAGAATTGGAAGAAATTTCTTGCCCAGTGAGGTTCCTGTATTACTGTTTCCCAGAGGGCTGACAGTCCAGGAGATTAAAAACAATGCCAAATAACTGGGGGGGGGGGGGGGGGGGGGGGGAGGGAACACAGCTTTTTCAATCTGCTGACCCTGAGGGGTGCAGGCATCTCACTGCTAGACCAGGAAGCTTATGTGCATCAAGGCTGCCCTGAGCAGAAATAACACCCCTCCTTTTTTTTTTTTTTTTAAATGTTACAGCATGCACGGATCACAATCTGGCCTTGGTCTGATGGGAATAAAAGATGACGGAGGGAAGAGTGCTTGTTAAACTGCCAAGCTTTTAAGCAAAGTCTTTTGTTAAGGTATTTTTAATTACTTTAAATATTGATGTCTTTGTAAAGATCCCTTACCATAAGAACAATAGGCCTTCACTCACTCTGTATCTTTTACAAAGTCTAAAAATAAAAGCTATTCAAAACATCTTAAAGCACAAAACCTTTTCCATTAACCCTTCTTGCTGTGGCAGTTTTCCTCTGCAGCAGGTGAGTGAGGCAAGTGCATAGGAAGTGCTGGGGGCAAACCAGGGAAGCAGCGCGAAAGCCCATCAGTATTGGCCTGTAAGCAGGATCGCAGCAAGTCCCTTGTCCCGGAGCCTGACCTACCTGCTGGGCTGTCCTCACTGAAGCCTGCAGGCCCTAAAGCTGCACACCAAGCTACTGCAGTACCTGTGGCTCAGTGGTTAAAAGCCATTCCCTGGAATTGTGTGGATTCCTGGCAATGTGCTGTGCCAGCTCTGAGGCAGCCACTGCCTCCTTTCCCGGAAAGGACTGTACTTAGTCCATGGAAAGGAGGAATCGGTGATTCATACTTCTTGGACAATCTCCACTTTCTCCTCCCTCCCTGACCACCCCCACACCCCTCACATAGAAAAAAAAGAAAAAAGAGAAGTTGCAGTGTGGCGGTGGGAGGGGCAAGGGCCATTTTAAGGAAAGCACACGGCTGTGCGAAGTGAAGAGCTGCAGTAAGGCTCAGTGCACGACCAGCAGCAGGATGAGGGGATTTACAGCCACTGCCATCTAAAATAAAGGCTGCTTGAGCATCTCCTCTTAACATACTGAATTTCCAAGCAGGAGGACACCTAGGAGAGCTTTTGGCACACAAAAAAACCCCAAGAAAAATTAAAAGGAAATATTACAAGATTTGGATGTGAGACAGAGGATTTCTTGATATAAATTAGAATAGGCTGAGATAAAGTTGAAATAGTTATTATTCCAGAAATTATTAAATACAGCTGGTAGAATATTTATACCCTCCTGCTTACCAACCCCAAGTTCATTTCGCTGGGGTCTTGAGCAAAGAGCAGCTTATGGAGTAGAAGTTGGGAGCTGCTGTGTGGAGGAGCAGGCAAAAATAAAGGCAAGGGAGAGGAAGGCAAACGCAGCAGTACCCCCGAGGCAGCACTAGTGAGTGGGTAGTAGATGCTCACGTCAGTGTCGTACACGCCTACATTTAAAGCCTCCAAAGCTCCTGAAATGAAATGTGTTGGTAAGCAAGATGAATGCAGCCAATTTGTTTTCTTTTAAAAAGGTACTTTATCCACTCCAAGTGAGCCTGGCATCCTTGGGCTGTACCTGTTGCAAATTGGGATAAGCATCAACATCAGTGCTGGTACAAGGTGTGAAAGGGAGTCGGTCCCTTTGCCCTGCGCTGCCGGTCCCCACTGCAGCCCAGTGGGAGGGGTGGATGGTGGCAGCCTGCCCGCAGCACTCAGCCCTCTGTAAGAGCATGCTCCTGTGAAGACTCTTCCCATCCAGCATCTCCTCGTAGACACTTGCACTACAAAGTTGAAAAAAACCCATCTAGTTTTCATTCCACGCACTTAAAAATGATGTGGTCGCCTCCCTGCAAGGACTAGGCAGGATTCAGTAAGCATCCAGGATTCCTGCTTGACAAACTCCAGAAGTGGCAAATAAAACTAGCAAGAGTCCTATTTATAGGCATGAAAAAATAATTAATTTGTCCCCTTTTAATTGAAAATGTAAAAAGGACTTCAGGTTTAAATAAGACATTTTGTACAAAGCTTGAGCACAGAAAAGTGAACACCAACGTGTCATTATGTAAACACCACAAATGTTACTCATTTGTTCAGTAATGCACAGAGCGGCGTGCAAGTTCCCTTTCCAGTGGATTAGGTTTCTGTAGCTGTTCCCCTCCCTCCCCTCAGACCTTACTGGAACACAGGAAACCCAGCAGCTTTGGAACATTTACAAAGCTACAGTAGTCAGGATACATGTGACTAAAGGAATTTTTTTTTTTTTTTCTTTAAGGGATTGGTCATTTAAATATACAGAAGTACAATAATGTCACAGGTAAATGAATGGCAGCTTGGATTAGAAAAAGCACCAAAATATTTAATATACATCTGGCACAAATTCCACAAGAAGTCAGTAATGGACAAACCAATGCTTTGCTTATAAGAAAAGAAAAAAACCTCAGACTGCACTTAATGCTCTTCTTCCAAAAGGGACACGACAAAAACATTGCACTCAGGATTGCTATCAAGCAAAGACAACCTTCTTATTACACCTATTTGCATTGTGCCTTAGATTGCACATTCTGTAAGATGCTGTTTCCATTCTGTTCCAGACAACGGTGAGCAAAATTTGACATAAGAAAAGTAATGGTAAAACTACAAACCAGATGGGACTCAGTAGATGCATCAGCTTGAACTTCTCCCACTTTTCCTCTAGATCATGGTTTCAAATTTGGCCACATCCCTTTAAAAAAAAGATCCTGCATGAAACAGAATTTACTCCAGCCATTTTCAAGCATTACATTTACACAGCACTTCTGATGCTGCTGTCTGAAAGAGGAAGCACGGGTCTGCTCCACAACACACAATACATTCATTATTTCCCAGAGCGAGAAAATTGGATCATACGGGGTTATCTCTTGGGCAAGTCCGAAAAGGCAAAAACCACTCCCAACACAAAGAATGGCAGATTCGATCCTACCCGCCCTTGGTGGTTTACTGAGGAACTGAGAGCTGTCAGCTCGTGGTGTTCCCATGCGATTCAGTGAAAGCTGCGCTTCCCTTACTTCCTTAGTCAGAATTAGTTACTTCTCTGGGAGCAAACACGCTACCAAAAGGCATTCCCTCCATAAAGGGCGACTTTGAGGCTAAATGGGCCGAGCTCCACAAGCAAGTGCTCCAAGAAATCCAGCTGTGTCAACCGGCTCTCCCAGGCTGACCCTTCTCCTCCACGCAGCCCATCAAGGACTTGGGTTGCTTCATGCCCCCAAGACCAGCCAGTACAAACCCCAGTAGCGCTGGGTCAGGACCTAATCCTGCCAGTTGCATCCGTGCCTCTCGGAACTCGAGTTACTCAGCAACTAACAGCCCAAGGCCCTCCAACCGCTCCTGCCACCCCATCTCCTTTTTAAAAGACTGTTTTAAACTTAAGAAAGCAAGCACATTATTAAGATAACTATATTTAGTGTGACTTAAAAAGTCACAACTTCAAAATATTAAGCAGTATTCTGTGAGGTCCTCTAACATTTAATACATATGGGAGTATAAAAACAGCAGCCAGCCTTCAGCTCCACTGATCCTCTGTGCAGGTTTGCCACCTCTGGTCACACGATCTCCCCTCTCATGGGCCCAGAGAAGCGCAAGAGTCAGCAGCTGTAACTGCATAAAATGGCAACATTCAAGTAAACACACTGATTCAACAGTAGGCAACCTTTAGTCCAAATAGAATTTACACGGGAAAAAAAAAAAACAAACCGAAACTTTACAGCAAGAACATTGGAGACGGATGGGTTTTTCTGTCTGTGTGTGAAATGACACGTTAGCCAGAAAGGGCTTATCTGAAAAGTGCAATTATGCAAAGACAGAAGCTTTTTTAAAATAAAGTTGTATAACCTCCAGAACCTGTTGGATTTTAAAACCTAACTACAGAAAGAATGAGGATTGCAATAGTGGCGAGGAACTTCTGTAATTTCAGTGATTTAAGGCAAGCTGTTAGCAGGACCAGTACGTTCATGTTCCTTTTACCTATCGTCTCGCATGCCCCCCTGCTCTCTTGAAATATGTGCCCGTACAGATAGTGCAAGAGGTCACACCCCAAAAGCAGCCCTCAAACTGGAAGAAGAATCTTGGAGCAACAGTTGCTACAGCATAGCATCCATTCGGCATTTGCAATGACAGTAATTAGGTTGTCGTCTTTTTTTGGGGGAGGAAAGCAAGGGACACAGATGTGTTGCATGAAGAAGACACCACCTAAATGCATTAATGAACACAAGTGAGCACTGCAGCCAGTCTGGCATCTACCAGTACACTCGAGAACTCTCCAGCTTTGCTCAAGCATAAGGGTTTTATCCTGAGCAAGATTCTGACCTCAGGGAGGAAACTGATGCCTGCAGCCCTTATGCTTTTGCAGCTCCCATCTTTGCTAGGTGTTACAGGTCCAGCCTGGCGGAACAAGACACGGTATTTCTCAGCAAAAGAAAAATGTACTCATGGCACTGCATCAGGTGGGTTCCTAAAGTTTTTCAAGGGCAAACGAAAAGGCTGACGGCTCCCTCTTAGGGAGCAGGTGCTCCATCTTCAATTGATCGTCCGTACAGGTATCCCGACCCAGGAAGAGGCTGTGTGATGACAAAAGCCCCTGAGCCACATGCAATGTAGCTCAAGTCGGTCACTCTATTGCACTCCAAAACCAGCACCCGGGAGGACCACCACTTTGTTTGCAGGTTGACTTGGCTCCCTTTCAAAGGGGCAATTGCATGCAGATTAAAAGCAATATACCAAAAAGTATGGCAAATAGATAATACTTGGGTCAATTAAAAAAAAAAATAGATTACTCATCCAGGCATAAAATCCCAGGAGCAAAGGATGGTAACCTTAAACTATTCAAGTCTAAGAACAAGAGGTAGAGATACCTGTGTACTTCATGGTGAAGGAGTTACAGCCTTCTGTCTTACAATCTCATGCATTTCACTTCAGTTGGCAATATAAAGCCAAAGATTCAATCTTCAATAGTCCAGAGAACAAATTCTAACACTGGTGGTTTTGTCTGCACACCACAAAATTTAAGCAGACACTTAGCTTTCAATACTTATTTGAAAAAATGTTTATGGTTTGCTATATATTGAAACACTACCCTGAAGAAATTTGCATTTCAGGTTAAGTATCTTCCTTTTTAATATGAAAGGCTAAATTCACATGCACGCATTTTGAGCAGAATGAGCTCAAAGGAAGAACTGGGTGCCCAATTTACCGAGGATCTTCTAAAAAAAAGATCACACTGCAGAACACAAGGCTACAAGACCCAGAAATTCACAATGATGATCATTTTGCTATGAATGGGAATGATGTAACCTCAGCCAACAAATTACATCATGACTGAGGTGGCTTTTAACTACATGGTGTTTCTTTAACTTTGCTGGGGTTTTTGGAAACAAGGCTTAGAACTGTAAGGAAGATACTTCCCTTGACAGTGTCATGAAAATACTAAGGTCACTAAGTCAGCGCACAGCCATGTCTGGGAACCAGAGGGGACAGGCGAGTGGATCCTGTCCAGGGATCCACAGGTTCTTCAGGCTCTGACACACAAGGAATGAAAGAGAAGTCACAGAGGCAAAGCTGCTGCTGCCCCTGCACTCTGCCCCCCACCCGACAGCCCTCCCACCCTCGGGATGAGGGGCTGCATCTACTGGCAACCAACCCCGACTTGCTCGGCAGCAGAGCAGGGTGAACTCTACTCATGCTCTGAAAGGTGCTCGGCTGAAAAGCTATCGTGGTCCAGGGGCTGGTCCATGGGCCCACCTGCCCTGCCAGCCTGGGGAAGCCGGCACTCACCCTGGGGTGGACCAAGCTGCCGCAGGCTTCAGCTATCCAATTTTATGCCACCTGCCACACCTTCATTTATTATTCCTGTGGTTTTCATTACAATTGCACAGTATTAAAAAGCTATAATTCTCCATATAGAATAGCACCAGCAGCAAGTAAACTCACAATTCAGCATTCAATTTCAATTAATTTCCTCAGTCATTGTTTATGGCCAACTATGGGCGGAATCTTTCAAATCCTTACTTGAGCCAATAAATAGTCTTTGACCTCAGAAACGCACCCATACAAGTGAAAATAAGCACAGCTGAGCCTCCAGTTATCTGGGAGCCAAATCTTAAAAGTGTAGCAAACTAAAATGGTGCAGGTGGTCAGCGTTTTATTACCCAGGAGTTGTATTTTTTTGTGTATAAGAGAAGGCAATGAAATGCCAGAGTGTGGATATCAGACCAGTTTTCCAGTATATTACTAAAACTATCTATATAGTTATCTATAGTTATTTAACCCCAGTTGCAGCAGATTCACTACATGTATCAAGTTTTCTAATGCATACCCTAATTTTAAAAAATTAAATAGTTGCAATGGTTTCAAGGATTCCAGCAGCATCACTGCTTACTACAGTCCTGTGCCCTATACAATAAAGATTTAAATTATATAAAAATGAAGAGTGAATGTATTTGGTCTGTTCCACAGAAATTCACAGTTTAACCATTAAACAAGCATATTTTCAGATGCTCCAATATTGTTAAAGACTTCTCAGAAACATGTACAAAAGCCCACCCCCACGCAGGTACATTACAGAGTACGCTCTATGCTTGATTAGGATCATAAAAATCACCAGGCAATCCAAGGGAAGGTCTGATGCCCTCTCTCACTGTCAGCAAAGAGTTGCACCTTCAGCTCCTGGTTCAGAAGTTTAAAACTGATACAGGTCTGGCTTGCATTCTGTAAATGGTAATTAAAAAACTGAAGTTAGGCTAAAAATAAGTGACTGGTACTTTGCTAGATGGATCATTTAGCTATTTTTGCAAGTACTCTACCCAACAGGTGGAGTTGCTCCTGCTAGGCTGAAAGCAGCAGAACAAGAGCAAGGCTGTCCTCTTGTACTGAAAGCACGGGACTTAACCCACAGAGAAATTTTATGTCCTTTCCCCAACAGGAAACAAGATTTTTCCCTTCCTGTATATTCACCACCACTGCCTTTAGAAGAAGCTGTACCACATGCAATGCACTAAAATGGGCTAAGCCTGGACATGCTACAGTAAATTGATTTCCTTACTGCAATCCACATTCAAACCACAAGACAAACACCTCCCTTAAAGAGCTCTGTCCCTCATACTCCTGAGCTGCTGCAGTTTGGTATATAAATCAGTAGCAGCCACTGCCATGACTCTGTGTGCACATGCATGCACTGGCTATCCATTGGAATTACGTTTTCACACTCTGGACATTTTAAATTCCCTTTAGGAAAAAAAAAATGAAGTGAGGAACAAATAGTTTAATAGCTGAATGAATGAATAGTCTCAAACTTACAAACACAGTCTTCATTTACTATCAGATCTCCGTTTGGAACTTTTGCTAACAAAGTAGCCTCTTGTTGGGGAATTTTTTTCCTTTTTTAAAATAACAGCACCAGCAAAAGTCTCACCATAAATTCAGTTATACCAGCACAAGTGCTTTGCTCACCAAATCAGAATAAGGTTTTGCTGCCAAACAGTGCTTGTGCCACGGTAGCTTGGAAGGTTATAGTAGCAAGGACAAAGCTTTGGGTACATTTCCCTATAATACAGCAAGTTCAGGGCTCCCCTCTGCAAAGGGACAGACTCAGCTGCATCTGGAACAACTACATTTATTTTCCACAGCTTAACACGTCTCCCAGGCAAGAGCTTGCAGAAGAAGCATGGACCAAACTCTCCGTTATTAGATGAACGAGATGCTATCTGTGGCTGGTGGGTTTGTTTTTAAACAGCTTTCAATACCCACATTCTGTTAGTGATTTATGATCTCAGACCCAAGCTATTGCATAGGCTGCACACCAGCAAAGCCAGTGACAGAATTCAGGCAGATCCTCCTCCTCTCTCTGCTAACCCCTCTAGGGCACAGCAGATGGGCAAAGCATGCCATCCTGGATCCAGTGGCAAGCTCGCCCCTTCAGACCTGTTTCCCTTTAGCTTTAAAACCCTTGTATCACAAAAGCCATTAGATGCTATGGATGACTGTCCAGCTGGTTTTGGTTTGGTTTTTTAACTGAAGCTGTTTTGTGACCCTGAAATGCAGCTCTGAAAATAAAGGGTGTGTAATGGAAGTGTATCAAATTCATTAAGCCAGTACTTAGCTCTATAGAAAGCCTTGGCAATCATCCCTTTTACCAAAAGGTGTAAAAAAGTTGACATACTAAAATTAAAAAAGGTAGCATCAATAACCAAAAAAGTTTCAACCAGTGTTAATAAAACTCCCTTTAAGTCACAAGTTTCAACAGGCAAATAGTCCCAATACAGGCATTGTAAAATAATAAATTGACTCCTATCCAAATATTATCAAATCAGTCTAAAAATGACTCATCTACACTGTTGTCATTAAGAACACATTAAGAATTCACTTTGTCATCAGATGCCGATATTGTTGCTCCAGAAAGTGTGGAGTATTAACTGCAATTTAGCAATTAAACATAGGTTTTAAAAAATTGGTTTGTCAATATTAATGCAAAAGATAGTTCCTTACATGGAAGTACTGTGCTTGCCAGACAAGTAAGATAATACTTTAGTTATAAATCAAACAAATTAAAGCAGAATTATACCACAGTTTTCCTTGAAGACTTAGGGTTTGTGTGTTGCTTCTGTCAATGTTTAGCAAACTTAAGAAGGAGAACCTTTGGTTCTTTGAGTCAAGTAAAAATATTCTCATGTAACCACAAAAATACAACTTCCAGAGAAAAATGGAAGTCCATCAAGAAGTCCACTTTCAATAAAACTGAGGTAGTACTGCTCTTTTATTATGTGATGTGTAAGAGATTTAGATACAAATCATCATCTACCACTCAGTTGACTGACAGGTACAGTAATTTTATAAAAAAACCCCAACGTTTTAGTTTGAAACCCCAAAAAACTAATGAATGATCTGGACTCATTCACTGGGAGTTAGCTTAAAATGGGAATCAGCCGTATTACAAAGAGCTGTTGCTTATGTTTTTTTAGAGCCTTATTACTGGGGGATTAATGCATTTATAGTTAACAGTTAACACTGCTGTTCATCTTGGTATAAAACCTTAAAATTATTACAGCCTAAAATTTCAACAATGTAAACAGCACTACACACAGTACAGACCTGCCCTGACAGATGTAGTATGAAAAACTTAATCTGGCACTGTATAATTTAGCAATGTTAATTTAACCTACCTAAAAAGATCTACGTTGTGCAAGAAATATCAGACTTACTTATACTAATCTGAAGTCTTAAAAAAAAAAAAAAAAACAAAACCAAAAATGCTTAACTTGTAGCCAGGGTCAAATATTTCAGGGCAAGAGAAAGAGGAATAACCAAAATTAAGAAAGTGCCTAAAACATGATACAGCATTTTAGAGCCCTTTCAAAGACAAGGCAGAAAAAGGTGTAAAGTAGAAAAATCTGGAGTCTAACTTCCAGAAACATCCAGAGTTTACATTTCATGAAGGGCAACAGGTTGCTTTTGTCACTGCTGCTTCGACACCGCTAAGTCTGTTCCTCCGCACACAGGCCCTCTGTGTCCAAAGACGTAATACATTTGGTTTCCTCTTCCTTTTTCCTTCGCTCCATTTCCCACTCCACAAAGGTATCGAAGAGGCTCGGCCAGGCCTCGTCCTCACTGTAGTTGCTAAGGTCCGGTCCAATCACCTGAGTAAAATTTAGAAACATGTTCCACGTGTCCCGGGAGATTCCCTTGATTCCTGAGGGGTTCTCGATTAGGAAGTGTAACCACTGGTCCAAAATGGGGGGCTTGTTTTGGGTGAAGACTAATTTCCAAAGGGCAATGGCTATTTCCCGATGTAGTGACCTCTGTCCTTCTTCAGAGTCCAGGCCGAACTGGAAGGTGAAACGATAGAGATCCTTGAATTTATCTTCCTGCTTGGCTTCGTTTAAGAGGCTGGGGAACCTTGCACAAATGCCATCGATGCTGTCTGCATTTATTGCTTTGCAGCCTTCAAAAAACTCCTTCCTATTAAGCAAGAGAAGAGAAATTAGTGCAAACACTTCCCACCAACCTCAGGCACTGAACGCTTCCCATCTCCATTCAGCTAGGCCACATCAGAAGAGGGTTATCTGGACAAGACAAGGGCTGCTCTCAGCCCAGGTGGCACAAAAATCTTGGCAATGGGAGCTACTGGAAGGGGAGATGCTTCCAAGAAATTTCTCATGGCTTGGGGAACCACAGACACCACTCAGATCTGCTGGGGCACTGTTAAAATTCAAAAGAGATTCTGCTGTCTGGCTGACTACTCAATAATACCACATCCAGTGACTTTCACACTAAAAAGCGAATAAAATTTACCACAGAAGAAATGCCAAATGTTTGAAAACACCACATTTATGCACTGAAGTGCCATATATAAACCAGTTTGATTTGATATTGCCCATGTCTAAATGCCCATGCTCTGGGCAAGCTGTTCTCAAGGGACAAAGCAGTTCACTGGTGGCTTCCCTGTGGTTTTTGATTGCTCTTCCAGCCTGCAAAATAAAAAGGGTGCCAATGGCAACGGTCAGCAAGGCACCTGCCAAGAGAGCAGAAGAGAACACAGGATCACGTAACACAGGCTACAACGCAACGTATAAACACTGCTCAAAGCACCAGTCCTGTACCAATTAGCCTACCAATAATCTGGCCAAGTGGGAAGACGGGTAGCCCTGATTTCTCTAACGCTCATGAATAAGTGTCATAACCAGCCAACGTTAACCAAAGCCAGCAAACTCTGACATGGGACAGGCTGAAGGGGAGACAGGGCAGCACTGAGGAGAACAGCAGACCACGTTGCTTTCCTTGATGGAAGAAGTCAATCAGCACCCGTATCATGGAGCGTGCTGTTAAACAAAGGTAACCTCACCACTAGATTTGCCCTCTCTCCAAGAAAACCAAAATGATATTAATAAAACTCATGGTGGTTGTGCACAATCACAGATACTACTTGCAATTCCTTTACCACATTAGCAAATGCCTGCGCTGTCAGCCTCTAGTAAATCCACATCTGCATTCCAGAGTAACTCATCCATTCGACACACACCCACATCCACAAAGACTCTGAAGACGCTGGAAAAGCCATCTGTGTTCAGGGCACAGCAGAGGCTTGGTTCAAGGCTCAGAACACCAAAGTAATTTTGAAAGTTATAAACTAAGTAAAAATAGGTAGCATTACTCAAACCAACCTAGATAGACCAAAAATAATAATAAATCATTCTCTCTCAGCAAGTACCTGTAGGAAGTCCTTACTTGCTCTTACCTGGACATTGATAATAAAGTGGGGGGGGGAAGAAGGGAGTTTTGGGGTTAGCATTTTTTCTTTTTTTCCTTCCCCCTGGTAAGCTTTAGCCGTTCTGTCATTTCCTGTATCATCACACATGCTATAAGCCTGCTGCCTGACCCCCTTTGCCCAGAAGGGCAGAAAGTGCTTTAAATACCAATCACTTGTCAGCCAGCATGAAACAGCTACCACTGTCAAAAACCTTGCATTTCCTTCCCTCTCTATGCTTTAACATTATTACACTTGGAAAAAGGCATGAAGTGTAATACTGGTTGGGCAGGAACAACTCTGAGGAAGCAGTCTGCCACTCTTTCACAGAATGATAACAGAGTTGGTAGCAATTACTAAGGGATCTCACATTACTTAAAAGCAAAAATTAATTTCAGTGTCCCATCTCGTCACCAAGATAATGCTGGATACAGTAAAACTGCTTTTGGTAAATGAAGAATAAACAAATGTCTACAGAATCTCACTATGCTGTTCATCACTAGCAGCATAATGTCCAAACCCACATTTTCAGTTCTGAAACCAGCTGTGAGGGGAAGAGGAAAAGAGGACAATACAAAGCTTACCTTCTGCAGTGGTAGGAATTAATTTGATCAAAATGCAAGTGTTAGAAGAAATAAGTAAGTGAAGCTAACGAGGCTGTCTCTCCAACATACAGATGACAGGATATACTTTAACATATGAAAATAATTACAAGTTCTACAAGAACTAACCTTGTAAATTTGCACATGGTAGCAGCCTGGAATTTCCAAGCCAAAACTAGCACTTTAAATTCAGTGGGATCAACACAGAGGTCATTGCAAAATCGTTCCATTCCTTCCTCCAGTATGGCATCTTCCCGTTCATCCTTATACCTCCTAAATAACTCCCCGATCCTTTGGAGCGAAGATTCTTCTGCGCTGGAAACAGAGTCTTTCTTTGTATCTCCAGAAAACGTTGGAGGCTGACTAGACTCTACAGCAGCGTCCGTTTTCTTTGTCCCATTCACAAGTATATCTCCTGAAGACTTCCCACAAGCCAAACCATGGTCATCTTTGTGGACTGCACTTCTCTTACTATGCGACTTGCTGCCAGAATCCCTTTCCCCATTTTTGCTGCCAAGGGTAGAAGAAGGATTCTTGCACTTAGTGACACACTGGCCCATGATGTTGCAAGCCCAGCTTCTAGAGTGGTCCCCTTGCCGTTGGACACCCTCGCAGCTGCTCTTCAACACATCTCACCATACCATTAGCGGCAGTCAACTAACCTGAAAAACAGTTTCAGAGTCAAATTGCTGTTTCTCCACAAAGAATATTGTAAGTATTAAATGTGGGATAACATTCGCCAGTAAGAGACCGACTTCAGGATATTTAAGTTTTGCATACTGAAAAGGAGTAGTGTACAGAAGGTTGGCATATGCCATAAATTTCAGGCAATTTCAGGCTGTTTTACCTAGAAATCAATGCAGCTCACTCAGTGGCTGCAGTATACTAACGGGTCCTAATAAAGGAAATTCCTAAAATTCTTACGGTAACATAGGTTACAAAGAGGTTGATTCATGTACAGGCTTCATCAAGACAGACTACTCTAACCCAGAAATATTTTAAAGGAAATGGTTTTTAAAAGGATACCCACATTTTATATATAGAATATAAAACACTGAAACAAAGCAATGGAGGGGACAGGGACACTGATGGGACAACCTGGCAGACACTTAAGCAGTACATTTAGACTGTGCCATCAGCAAATGGGCAAAAGAGGGGGTTTTGTTTTGTGGGGGGTTTTTGGTGTTTTTTTTGTTTGGTTGGTTTTTTGGGTTTTTTTTGCAGGGGGCAGGGAGTTGTGGGTTTGGGTTTTTTTAAGAGTTTGGAATCTAGATTTTTGTTCTTAAAACACACACACAGCATGTTTGCAGAAAGGAGGCAACACTCACTTTTCATACAAGATGGTGTCTAGGAATTATTCATTGTTTTAAGTGGGCTCCTCCCTTCAGGTAATGAGACAGACAGGGGGACGGGGCCTTTGTAATGAAACCTTTTCAGACACACACACATGCAGATAAGTAGCAGTAATTCTGGTCGGCTGTGGGGTTTTTTTTAATCAAAATTAAAATGCCAAAATTATTTCATCATACTCTGTTTTTATAAATCACAATGTTAAAGGCTTGCATATTTGAAAATACATTTTACCCACAGAAAAGGTTTCTTAAATTTTCCCTATTAAAACCAAGCTAACACTCTGGCACTATCCTATCAGCATGCTGTCACGCCACGGACAGTCCATTTCTCAGAAACAGCAACTCCAAGAAAGCAATTGCTTATCATATTCCTCCTTTACCCACTTATTTGCATTTCATCTCTGCTGTCAGTTAGGCAAAAGCCTCAAACAAAAATTGGGTTTGCCTGGTCTTTGTTTACTGCTTCCAGGTTACAGAACTAGAACAAGAAAGAAAAGAGATAAAAATTAAAAATGAAGGAATAAAATAGATGTCACGTCAGTTTTTCCGTATTCTTTCTTCGGTAAAGTTCTTCTGAGATCAAACCCCTGTTTCAAGCTGTAAACCAACTTGGAACAGCAGCACCAAGTGCTGATGTGTTCCCCAGATATTAGGATTACAAACATAAATCTTCTGTCAGCCATTATACCTGTTTTGGCAAAACAACGCATATGCATTTTCATGAGCAAAATAAAAAAAATATAAAAATTTTTGCCAGTACAACAGCCAAGATGCTGGTTTCAACTACCTGGCTTCCCTTCCCCGCCCCAATTCCTTTTCTTAAGCCCATAACCCACAAACACCACCAACAAAAACCTGTTTTTAAGCAGCAGAAGGAACAAACATCTGGTACATGCTTTCATCAAACTTCTTTAAAGATGAACTTTGTAGCATCATTTTTATAGGCAAGTGAAGTTTGATTTAATGTATTTAAGAATAACTTCCGATTTAATGTATTTAAGAATAACTTCTTATTCATTTGTGTTTTAAAGGATTCATTAAAAAAACAACCCAAACGACAATTTCACTGGTCCTTAGTACTTCACAGCTCTTTCTGAACTGCAGAGTACAGCCTGGCACTGGTTCCTGTGCTGCCATGAGTCTGAGCAACATCATCTTCTCTAGCCTACACCAGTCATTTTTTCATTACACCAAAACAAACAGGATATTATTAGGCAGTATAAATTACTGCTTAGTGATTATTTCCCAGCTACCAGCCTTTTTTTTTCCCCCCCCTTCAAAGAGTTATCACAACTCAAATGCTCAATCTACACTAATTCTTGTTCTTCCATCAATTTCCCAAAGGCAGCTAGCACTACTTTGGCTAAGATTTCTTTAGAGAGAAGCATGCAAGTAAAGGAACAGAATAAAAAAATCCTGAGTAAAAACTAGTATTAGAGTTTAAAGTGGAGTTTAGCTAGTTTATAAAATTTTCTGCTCAAACACATAAAAGCAATTATTAGCTGTTGGGGATTTGGAACAGCTTTTCCAGATGGGCAGGTTAAAGAGTAGCTGCCTATTAGTGAGTGGTACTTTCCTCCAAAGTAGCTGGTAGTAGGCAAATCACTCGCAGCATAATGGACAGACACGAATCCAATTCACTTTAGGAACCCCAATTTAAAGAATTTTTTTTTTTTTAAAAAAGACAGACAGTATGCAAGACTAACTTACTCTGTCCATAAATTTTCCTAAAGGAAGTGATTCATGCTGTCATGCTTCCTAAGCAATGGCTCTTATCAATGATAACCATCTAATATTCAAGTCTACAAAAGTGACATCACCAGTATGATGAAACAGACAAGGTTTATTGTCATTTGCTGTCATGAAAAGACAGCATTACAGTAAGCAGCAGGCAGGTCAGCCAGCATTATTAAACACCTGTACCTGAGGAAGTGTCCCAACAGCTGTTTCTGAAAACCACTGGAGAGCACAGCAACATTAACCCATGGAGTGCAGGTCCACCACGTCCCCTGCAGCATGCCCCTCTAACACGTTTGCTGTACTCCAACCTACCTGCCTGAGAAGGAGCTGACTGCTGCTCCTGAACAGCCGCTGCCTGTGCTCTGCTAGCACTGCTCTTCCCTGCAGTAACAGAGTTCTTCCTCCCTCCTCCCCGCCGAGGAGGTTTTCAGAGCACAATCCTACTCGTTATGAACAAACACTAGAAGATACTGAAGTACAGTTGCTGCAAGCCCTCACTTTTCTACTACATGAAACTTGATGCCACGTGCCAGACACTTTGAAGCATTCTACCCCAAAAATAGCAAAACCAGCTTGGAAAAAAAAAAAAAAAAAAAAAAAAAAAAAGCCAGACTGCATCCGCTGGCAGTTTGTGCATGTATCTGGTTTTGCAAGAGAAAAGTCTTTTGGCGCCCCATCAGTTACCCTTTCATAAAATGCCTTCACTGAGCTGGATCCACTTCACTTACTAGTCACCTCCGCTTCCTACATGACTCAGGTTTCAAGGCATGAAAGGAACAAGAGCCTCGGAAGGAGATAGAAACAAGTGGGAGAACTCGGCCCTTTTGTTAAGGAAGGCTGGAGAGAGGATCCAGTTGCAGCATCAGGAGCTGCACTGAACTCAGTGTTCAAGGAGTATGAAAAACCACTCTCAAAAAAGCGAACAGAGCTACTCATTGAACTGTAGAGCAAAACAAATGTCACGTCTAGGTCACGCTGATTACAGTTAAGGATGTGCAGAGATATTTCTCCCAGCTGGATCAGGAATTACAAGTATAAAGTTCTCGCGTACCCAAAGGTTATACTGGATTGGTGGAAAAGCACCAATTCCCAAAAGGATCAGTTCCCAAGAGCATAATTACTGCAACAGGCTTGTACAACATAAGTGAGACACAAAAGGCAGCGCTGACCACTAGTTTTGCCATTCTGCTAAAAAAGATCAAAATTCAGGGCTAAGGTTGGAACGCACTCGGCACTACAGGATGCAGTACTCCCAAAGAAGTTACTCAGACAAGTATTGAGCAATAACCTACAGTAAATATGAATCACCAAGATGCCCATGAGGCCATCTTCCACATAACAGGAACTGCAAAGCAGAGATCAACAATGATGTTCTCTGCTTCTTTCTAGAAGGGAGTAAGCAACTGGAAACACAGGAAGACGAGTTCTGGTGAATACAGCCAGTTAAAGGAAAGCCACCCTCTTAAGAACAAAGGATGTGTAGAACCGTATTGTCCAATACATTAAACAGAAAACCTAGAGAAGATTGGAAAGACCTTGCTAATTCTTGATGGGGCTTGTTGTTTTGGGTTTTTTTTAGGGGGGGTTTTTTGGTGTTTTGGTTTTTTAAGTGCTGTAAAAAAATTTGGTTTTCCCCATTCTCAAGTGACCAGATCACACGTAACCCAAGGTTTGAAGGGAGCAAAACAACAAAGTGACTCAGTAATAATTCTCTGTCATACAAGCAGACCATAGCACAATTGAAAACGACAGAGCACTGAAGTGGGGGAGAGCTGGCAGGAGGAGACAAGATGCAAAGGAGATATTTAAGTAAACCTGTATTTTTCTTTAATGACCAACTATTGTAGTAATAGAAATTACTGGATACATTCAAAGCATAAAAACACAGCCAAGCATTATGCCATTTAATAAAGTGTTGCATCAGAAGGTGTTTACAATGAGTTTCAAAATGCAGAAATTATCAAGAGGGAAGAGGAAAACACCCTCCATACACTCAAGAACACCTCAAAGACAAATTTAGGAAATCTCGTAACAAAAGGGGACGCAGCTCAGCCAACCATTAAATCCCTTCCCAGGTAGCAGTTCAGTAGCTAAGACAAAGACAACATTGCTAGAGTTTAACTAAGCGTCCACCCAGCCTCGACTTCTTGCAAACGCTCGAGCATAGTCTGTAAGAATTTTACAGAATTTCACTATGCATTATCTGTCTTTTAGTGGACAGGGATACATGACTTCTAAAATAGCTGAGGGTAAGGAACAGTATCATGGATGCCTCATCTTTTTGCAGCTCTGAACAGATACAGACAGCTTTCCATTGGGGAGGCACAAGAGGATCATTGCAGCTGCTGATTTTTTTTTAACAGTTGATGTTGGGCAAGTGACCTTGTAAGCAAATATCTAATACTTACATAGTTTTAGCTACCCAGGGAATCATTCCAGTAGCTTCACAGCCGCCTTCAGGCTCCCTGGGTTCCACATGGAACGCTGTAAGACAAAAGACCACACAAATCTTTACATTTAGAAGAAGCTATGAGAACCATAAAATGTATCAAATTGCTCAGAGTTGATTATGCATTTAATAAAACCCTTCATAGCCAAAATTCAGTTGTTGAAATAGTCATTTTATAAAACTATTTGACTTTTTGACTTATAAAGTAGCATTAATACCATTAACTCTGCATTGACATATAAAGCATAGATCAGGTACTGAAGGCAACAGAGAAGTTCAAACATTTGTTAGGAGTAAACACACACTTCCGAATACTTTTATGGCTTTCAGCATGGGAGAGTTAATTCCTCATTTCATGCACTCAAAGCAAAACAGAGGACATGCTATCATTGTCAATGCATGTTAGCAAAGCGGCTGTTTAATCTGTGAATGCCAGACAGCTGCTACCTAGCAAAGCATAATTTGGGTCTAGAAAGTAATTCTCTTTTTCATTCTCTAGCACATTCTTTTCCATGTTTGTTTTTCCATGTTCAGTTGAGCTGGCTCAACTTCACTTCTCTTAAACTCCCAGCTCTGCTATATAACTAGGAAGCTCTGAAGCGAAGATGACAGACAAAGCTACGTCTGGTTTGTGTAGCAAGAGCTACAACTGCAGCTCCGAGTCAACACCTCTGTTTGTATCTGATCTAGAAAAACAAAAAAAACCCATCACCAAACAAAACAAAAAACAAGAAAGCTCTGACAAAGCTCCTCTGCTCTCCCGTAGTAACAGAAACGCTAAAGCAACTTGGGTTTACAGCTCTTCGTACATCTAGGGAGCAGACAGGTGATCAAAAGCTGCCTTTCTGCATACTTACTTTTTACATGAGACCTACTTCTTAGGAAACAAGCGGGAACATTAGCTTGTTCAGTGTGTTCTTCAGTAGAAAGCAGGGAATGAATGTGAAAGACAACCATGAAACAAGTTCTTACCACACACGCCAATCTCCATATAAGTTGAGTTTTTCCCAAACTTGAGTCCTATACATGGATTAGGACAAATCTGACTGACACATAAAACCTAGTTCAGATCAAAGCTTTTAAAAAAGCTTTTAAAAGCCCAGGAAAACAGGCATCCAAATGCTTCAAACCCCCTAGAAACCATGGACTAGTACTTTTGTCCATAATACACACACACGGAGCAAAAACGTATCTCTGCTGAATCATTTTTAGGCATTTACTTTTGAGATGGATCGTCCTAAAAGCCTACTTCACTCTGGATTTATATCTTCTGCTTCCAAACCTCATTTTCCACACAAACAACAAGCATTTTGCCACCCCCCCACCCCCCCGCAGGCCACAC